ATTCCATGAGTCTATGATTCTATGACATAGGCATTGTCCCTGTTTTACACTTAGGGAAACTGAGGCACACATGATGGCTCACGTGTGGTCAGGCAAAGCAGGACAGAGCAAGGTCAGACCTGGAGGGCACCCAGCTGGACACACTCATGTCCCTTTGTGGGTTTGGCCAGAGGTGTCCCCACGTTGTCCAGGCTCAGCCTTCCTGATGCACCGGGCTGTCTAGAGGAGCACAGCAAGGAGCAACAGAGGGATTTGCTCCGAGCTAAGGGAGAAATCATTGCTTTGAGCAGAAAGTGGAAGAGATTTTCCCTGTGCTCCCCAGTGAGCTCCAGTAAAGCACTGTCTCAGGTTGGCAACAGGCTTTTCCCCACCATCAGCTGCCATGGAGATCCGTACCAGCCCTGCCTGAGGGCCTTTCCCGGTAGCAGATTAGACAAGGAGAACATCTCAGCCCCGTGCTAGTGTCTGGAAATCAAAACATCACATCCCTGGGGCTCACCCTGGGTCCTTCCGCTGCTCCCCTTTAACGAAGGCAATTAACGTTGAAACAGCAGCTTGGAAGCAAATGAGCCAGGGTTTTTGCTGGCACCAGGCTGTGCCTGCACATGCAAAGCTGAGATGGGGACAGCAGATACCAGCTGATAGCGATTGATAGGGAAAGCAGAGATCCTCCCCCCACAGCTGCATCCCCACGGGGGAGTCTCATCCACTCCCGGTACTGGCTCGGACAAAACTTTCCAAAATTAATCCTCCTTCTCAACCTCTGCCAAGTGAGACCAGGGTTGCCCAGAGGGGCTGAGATGCAGGCAGAAGTTGGAGGAGCCAGATTACCTAAAGAAGCTGAACGGAAATAGAAGCACTGAAATCTCCATCAGCACCCACCTGGGGCTGGGAGCGTGTCCTTCCTGGGAAGGAGAGTGTTGCTATTTGGGGTGATATGTGCAGTTTTTGAAAAGCCAGGTGAGGATTCAGTCTTTCCTGCCATTTCGTGCAGGGATGAAACCCAAACTCTTGGTATAGCTCTCAAAAAGAGCGTTTTGTTCAGGAGGGGGTGCACAGCCGTTGCAGGCACACTCTGGACAATGTATCCTTGTTGGACCACTGCTGGTTCCCTTTCAGCCTCTTCATAATCCTTCCTACAGGCAGCCAGGTCTTCCCTGGCTTTCAGGAACCCATCTGTCATCCTTCTCCTCCATCACGTGCCAACGGTCCAAAGCCTTCTTCATCCATATCAGAGCAAACCAGAGATGCTGCAGTGGTTAGGCAGCCCCAAAAGAGAGCAAGTCCTGAACCCCATCTTGGGATCAAGGAGGCCCCATGCACATCTAGCTGAGGAAGACATTCAGGCAGCGTAACTCAATGGGTATTGAGTGTCTGCCCAAAAAGACACTCTTGCTGTTGAAGGGGTACCCACATTGACATCCATGGGGTCACACAAAATCCTTTTCCTGATTTTACAGAAAGTGGTCTTTGACATCATGGGGAAAGCAATGCTGAATGGGTGTTTAAAAGCCAAAGAAACTCCAAACTTCATGGGTCTGCAGGTGCAAATCCTTCAAAGTACCTTGATTACCCCAATAGCTATCCCTCCCAGAGCAGAAACACCTGAACCCTTTGCCAGCAGGTGCCTGCACGAGGAGGAGACAGGAAGAGGGACCCCTTTAGCAGAGAGCTCAGCTCTACTTGCTATAAAAGGCCCAAGGGGGAGCAGGCAAGGAGTGCTATTAGTGGGGTGGTTGTGATTGTGGTGAGGAGCCTAGGTAGTTCAGAGCCATGGTGAGTAGCTGTTGGGCTCGGGTTTGCTTTCTGGGAGCTATGGCTGACTCTTCCCAGCTCTGCAGGAGGATAGAGCTGGAGGTGATTTTTCTTTCTGATTGGGGAAAGGCGTCTTGTCCCTGTTTGTGGGCTTCCCTAGGGGTGATAGTGGTTGTGGGCTAAGGAGGAGCATGTGAGCCCTGGAGATGGGGCTCCTGGGCATGCAGAGGTCATGCTTAGGGGAGAAGAGTCTGTAGAGCTGGGCTGGTCTTGCAAGGCTGGTGTTTATCTTTGCTTTGTGACTTGGGAAGGACCACTCTGCTGAAGTGACTTCAGACCTACCTGGAGACATTTTGATGGTCTTGTTGGTGGCATCTGATCCAAGACTCATTCAGGTGCCCATCAGGTGCTGCTGTGGGTCCGAGGCAGACCTGGAGCAGGGAATTGAAGGTCTCCCCTTGTGAAGATGGGCTCAGCATCCCTGTTCTTGCCTTGGTGTGGGAGTTGGCTAAGGCTGTCCTAGGACTGCCTGCGTAGGAAGAGAAATGCAGTGGTGACTGGGGGCTGATAATGCTATATAGTGACCCTCTTATCTTGTGTAGGATGCTGCTTCCCTGTTACTGTGCTTGGTAGGGGTCCTGCTGTGCTCAACAGCTCAGCCTCCCTTTTTGCACAGGGGTTTCTCTCTTGGATTCAAGGAGAAGCTGTTGCTTCATGGGCAGCTACTGGTCTTGTAGGGAGAAAATAAAGAACTGGTCCCTACCCAGCCTTGCTTGGATCTTCCTTACCTGTTTCCAGCCAGATGATCCTGCATGGCTGTATATAACCTAAATGGAGATGAAACACTGTTCTGACAGTACTTGAAGGTGAACAGCATGGGCTTCTCACATCAGAGAGAGGCAGAGGTCCTCAGCTGCTGCCCATCTGGGTGGGGAGGAGTCTGCCTCTACCTCCCTGGGAAAGGTTATGGAGAGGAGTGTTTCAGCTGCTGGCTGGGCTGGATCATTCCCTCCTCCCTAGCTGAGAGCACCAGGTGAAGTACCTGGGAAGGTTGTACCCTGTCTTCTGCCCCAAGGCAGGATCAGCAGAGCAAAGAGGAGAAACCATGAGCAGTTGAACTTGACAGCTATCACGTGCTGTGGATTCAGGCTTGGTGGCCTGCTCCTGGGAGTGGGGATGTTGAGCAAGGTAATGAGAGTGCTGGGATGCAGAGGAAAGTACTGCAATATCCCACCAAGGCAGATGCAAAGATTAGGGCATTGCAACACCTCTCTGGAGGGCTAATGCTTAGTTGTTGCTTGTTTGTCAGCCCTTGGGTGCCTGCTCTGGTGAAATAGCCCTGACCACCACCAAGTGGCATTAATCCTCTTCTTGTCACAGATTCAGATTGTTGGCCATGTGCTCCATAAGACAGCCAGAAGTGCCAATTCTGTAATTTTTTTAGTGTAATTCCTCAGTGCATATTGATAACCACCTCTTCACTCTCATCCCCATGCAGAGGGAGTGTATTTCTGTCCACATTGGCCAGGCTGGTGTCCAGATAGGCAATTCCTGTTGGGAACTGTATTGCTTGGAGCATGGGATTGAGCCAGATGGCATCATCTCCTCCAGTGCATCCTCAGAGCAAACAGACTCTTCTTTTGGGACTTTCTTCAGTGAGACAAGATCAGGGAAGTATGTGCCTAGAGCCATGTTTGTTGACCTGGAGCCCACTGTCATTGGTAAGTCATGGTCCCCAGACCACTTGGAGTGGGTGGGAAGTACCTTCTCTGATCTCAAGTGTAGTGTTGGCCACCTAAACTCCTGGTGAGGCTGCTAACTTCCATGTGAAACTGCATCTAAGTTGGTGCAGGTAACTTGGAAGACAGCGGGTCTTGTGCCAGTGGCACTCATGAGGTCTCAACTTCCTCCAGGCGAGATCAGGACTGGGACCTACCGCACACTCTTCCACCCGGAGCAGCTCATCAGTGGCAAAGAAGATGCTGCCAACAACTATGCTCGGGGCCACTACACCATTGGGAAGGAGATCATTGACTCGGTTGTTGACAGAACTCGTAAAATGGTAACAACCCTGTGGAGGGTCTTCTGCATTAGCACTCTGGTTGTTGTTGCCCTGGCCATCAAGGCCGGGGGGAAGCTGATCATGGCCAGCTTAACTATACCACTAGAAGAACATGATGGCATGCATGTGGGTGTATGTCTTCCTGGTTGGGACTTGAGGGGGAAAAGAAGGGACTAAAGGTGCCCCCATACAGGGGGGCTAGTGTCTCCCCTTGGGCTTCTCTTTTGTGCAGTAGCTTCTGCAGTAAGAGCTTTCAGTCACGTAGATGCTCAGAAGTGCTTTGATAACATTAAAATATTCTTGATTTAGGTGGGACCTCTTAGTGGTCTTCAGACTCTTCCTAATCTTCTCTTGACTGCTATTACCATGAGTTTCTTGGGCCAGGGCTTTCTTCCTACTAAACAGGAGATAACGTAAAAGCAGATGTTTGTTGTGTCTAACAGATCTTAACTGTTAAAAGTGAAAGGTCTATGCAAACAGTAGTTAAGCCTTAAATTTGATGGCTGAACACAGTAGTTAATTAGTCCAATTAGATAAGAATAACTCCAGTAACCTGGTCTTTATGGTTCTTTCCCTGGTGCTGCAGACTGAGCAGTGCAGTGGGCTCCAAGGGTTCC